CGACCAACCCATACTTCTTCCAGCATCTTCTTTCCGATTTCCTAAAAATTTTGAATAACATTGAAAAACCAAGAGTTATATAAAAATAAAATAAAATATCCAATTTTTTTTCGATTGAATTAGAATAAAAAATATTACAGAAAAACCTCTATAAATTAATAATGTTGGAACTCTCAAATTTGATTAATTTATAGAGTTATTAATTAATCGATAAATTAATTATTAATTTATCTATTAATTAATATTTTATTAATTTATAGAGATATTTTTAGTTTAAATTTTTAATATTCATCCAAAAACCAAAATCAATATTTTCAACAATGTAAAATTTATTCAAAAAATTTCACAATAATGAATTTAAAAGATAAATCAAACAAATTTTATAAACTTGAGACAAAAATATTATCATAGTTTACTATATTATATTATTAATATATGCCTAATTATTAATTTATATTTTTATTGGGACTATATTTTTACATACAACTTTCAAAAAAGTATTATCTTATTATCTTATCCAATTTTGTCAATTTTTACATTGACCCGACTTGGGACTGGCAAAAATTATTAATTTATAATAATTATTAATTTATCAAGTATTAATTTGTAGAGGTTTTACTGTATTTAACATTCACGTATTATCTAGTCAATAAAAAAAAAACTCTTCGCTTTCTTTGAATGGTTTGAATGATAATATTATAAAAATTAATTGAACTGTTTTTAAAAAATTGTATTTTTAAATTAAAGAGAATTGTTTTAAAAAACTTTACTGGAAAACCCAAATATTTACTGGCACATTGAGTCCTATTTTAGTTTAGAATAATAAAAAATGATATGGGAAACAGAAAAAGCTTCCTCGATAAACTTTGGAAAAGATCTGGAAAAATACGGCAAGTCTATGATTAACCACGTGGCGACATCTCGGCGATCCATTTAGTCTTCTTAATCTATTTACTAGAATAAGACCTGCATATATGCGGATTAACCACGTGGCGACAGCTCGACTAGTAAATGGATTAAGAAGACTAAATGGATATCAACAGTCTTTTTAGTAAATGGATTAATCCCTTATATGCGGGTTTTTAATCAGATATTTTAAATTTGTAAAATAAATTAAAAACAAAATCGTATAATCTATATGAACAAAATAATCATATAATCTATAAGAAAAAAATAAAATTTAATTTATTAATATTTCCAAATATATATGTTTTAATATTTTTATATTAATTATGTTTACTTCTAATGTCATATCTATATATATATACATATATATATATATAATTATTTATTCAAAATTTTAAAGAATTATTTATCCTACTTTTTCATAATTAAAATATATATTAGGATCCGCGTACAAATAATGACAATATATTTATCTAAATGCATTGTATTTTTGTAATATTAAAACAGAGTCTTTTATATTTTGATAACAAGTTTCATTTACAAGGTTTGAAAAACCAGAAAGGCGTTTGGAAAAACCCATTGTCCTTCCGCAGGACCGTAGACCCTTCAGCGTTTACAGCAGCTTCAGCGTTTGCACCAGCACCAGCTTCAGCGTTTGCACCAGAAAGTGGTTCACCAGCTTCAGCGTTTACACCAGGCCGTTCATGAGGATTAGCGCTTGCACCACATACTTCCATACCCTTAACTAATGTCATCATCTTAACAGAGAGCTCAGAGCCAAGGTGGAACCATGAAGACCTACCTCATTAACAACTTCTAAGTATGGAAAACCACATGGGACAAAACCATACGGAAATGGAGTGTAGACTCTATGGCTATGGAGTCATTGTTGAGAGAGATAGATGACTCCTAAGTCTTGGAAGGAAGGCTAGATGTCTGCCAATTGATCTTCACTTCTTGAATTTATCTTTTTTTTCAAAAAATAAAGAATTTACAACTTTATATACGCCTGTAAGATGCTCAATTATTCAAAAAATTGAATTTATCTTTTTTTCTGTCACAAAATTATAATTATCTAAAAAAATTCTATCAATTATCAACTTACAAAATTCTTATTATTTACAAATTATCTATAATTATATATTTAAATAGTAATTTTAGTCTTTCATAATTGTTTCAGTTTGTGAATATGATTTATATTAATATCTACAAAATATTCAGTTTGACTGTAAAAAAAATTCAGAAAGTGTCAAACCTGAAAGATATTGTCGCTGTGTTGGTCATAGAAATAAATATTATTTTTCTCGAGATACAAAAAAATAAAGAAATCTCTCAACATCTTCTTTGTCTTTCTTTTTCATTCAGCCCCGGCCCATTGTATTTTAGGTCCCATGGGCAAAAACATTTTTGGACCCTATAAATATTATTTTTCAAAAAATATTTGAATATTTTCTATATACTTTTAAAAGTATGGGCCAATTTTTTGGATAAATTTTCGAATTAGGAAATAAAACTAGGCTATTTCTAATTGTTAAAATAAAAATGGGCTCTTTGATACTAAAGAAAACAAAAAAATGAGCCAATTATTGAGGAAAAAAACAAAACAATAGACCCTTTTTACAAAGATTTTCTATTGAAATGGGCTCGGGCCCCTGGGCCATCGCACCTCTGCCCACCTCTTTTGGGCCGGGCCTGCTTTCATTCCCTCTAATCCATCTCCGTTGCCTAATTAGTTTATTTGGTAATTTATAGAGTGTATTTTGGTTCTCCCATGGCTGATGATCCGCAAAGAAAGCTTGATCTGAATGAACCAAGATCCCAAAGCTGCATACATGCACTTCCACTTGATACCTATCATAATGATAAACGGCTCGTCTCGCTGTGACCATCTCTTAAATTCTCAAAACTTCTGTCACTCTACCCCGCAGGAGCAGAGCAGGCCCGGTCCGCACCTATTTGGCGCCTAAAGCCCAAATTTTTTTTAAACCCATTTATAAATACTAATTAAAATTATACTACATATTCAAGAATCGAACCTTGTATCTAGAAGCCAAAAAGTCCGGATTTTTCAACTACACCATGAGTATATTTTAAAAATTTAGCGCCCCTTAATATTACTTAAATATTTGGGCTTTAGCCCAGAGCCGGCCTTGGGGCAGAGAACCCGTTGCTGTCTCGGCTGTGCTACCGGAGGCTTTGGGGAAGTCGGAATAGGAGAACACTCATCTTGGGGTGGGCTTACTACTCAAGGAAAACATAAGATACACTTAAACACAATATGTAGTGTTCTGTGTGTACAATTAGTACCAAGATTGGTTCCTATCACTGGTCCTTCTCCTTCACCGTCATTACTACTAACTGAAAACAAAGATAAAGGGTTTTTGAGTTGTGAGGAAGAAAAAAACGTCAAAAGCTGAGGTTTCTTTTTTTTTTTTGAGTTGTGAGGAAGAAAAAAGCGAAAAAAGCGATAAAGTGAGACAAGCTTTCTTCTTTTTTACCTTCTTCTGATAAGGGTTACAGACGGGCTGTTACGAGGGAGCTCCGCTACAAGACCATCAATGGAAGTAACGTAAGGTCTTAAAAAATGGGTTTTCATCAAACAAGGATCTTTGTGTTTTTCTGCACTCGAATTCGGATCCATCTGGAGAAGAAGATGATGAAAAAGCGAGACAAGCTTTCTTCTTTTTTACCTTCTTCTGATAAGAGTTCAGAATCACTTATCCTTCGACGGTTCAGAAATCATTCGTCCTTCTTCTGAAGGGTTCAGAATTGCTTATCTTTCTATTCTGAAAGGTTCATTAATCCTTAATCCTACTTCTGAAGGGTTTAGAGTCGCTTATCCTTCTATTTCTATTGCCACGAGAACAACAACAAACCTGCAAAGAATTTCAAAGTAGGAAATGTTAAAAAAAATTAGGCCTTAAACTCCTAACATGCAAAACCCTAAGATCAATCAGCATATTATCATATACAATTAGCATATATCATCCTCGTTTTCATCTACAAAATTTGCTGGGACCACCAAAAAGTATTCATTTTACGAGATAATCCTTTGAAGTCGTGTGTGAAAGACACGTGTCTTGTATATGACGGGGGTACTATAGAGAAAGTAAACCAAAAAGTCGCGTTAAAAATTTGGAGGGATAAAATTTGGCGCTATTTAATTTGATAATTTCTGCCTAAAATATAAAAAATCGGATTTCTTCTTGCACAGTCGTCACTTAGGTCACGCCACCAAAGTAGCGAATCCGAAAGCGAGAGATATGGATGATGCAGTGGAGATTGTGGATGTGGACAAGGAGGATGAGAAGGAGTGCGAGGACTGGTGCTTCGTCTGCAAAGATGGCGGAAGCCTGATTATCTGTGACTACAAGCAAGTATTTCTCTCTGTTTAGATTTTCATGCCTCGCTAATGGGTTTGGCACTTAGTTAAACCAGAGGAAAGGTAGCAAAACTCTGATAATCGAAATCAATCATAATCCTACTCTCTCAGATCGTCAGATTCATCTCCTCCATTTTTTTTTTCTAGATTTGATCAACTGAGCAATGGTAATATCATCATGACAATCCATACAATTCTCATCATCATCATCACGAGCTCGTTTACGTCTCTTGTTTCTCAAATGCTCACTTGTCCTCTTCGCTAACTCCTTTTGAAACAACTTACTAAGTGGCACTTCTGTTGAAGCCGATGCACCACAATCACCAGTCTTGTATTTCTTGATCCCATATCCTATATGTTTGGCTATTCTACGCTTCCTACATCTTTTGAGTTTTGTAGGAAACTTTAACCCCGACTTTTGTAACACTTCACGCAATGGCAGTACCTTAGGAGATACATCATCGTTGTCATAATGATCAGCTGGATTTCTTGTAGTAAAAGTTTTAGTCGACTCTGAAGAACCCAAAAGTTTTAGTCGACTTTTACTTGTAGTAAAAGTTTCATAGTTTTACTTGGATTTGGTTTGGTGTCTGAGTCTTTTCTTTTCCTTTTTCGCATTTTTAAGTACATCCATTATTCCTAGTTCGATTTTTACCCATCACAGACACACATTTATAATCCTAAATATATATAACATGACGTATGAAAACAACTAAGCCGATATCATTCGTTGGGTGCAATTACCGACCATGACGGTTTCAACCGTGGTCTTCGATCCGCTACGAGCTGGGTTGAAACAGACCGCACTGTATTCCTCAATCGCATACGTCATTTCTTTGAAATGTTTCACCAACTCATCTTTGCCCTACACACTAATACTAACAAAAAGACTGATATAAGGTAATAATAATAATATAGAAATATGTAGAGGAAGGAGTAGAGAACTAGCCTGGATCCGAGCATAGGCAATTTCAAGTACTTTTCTTGAGCAGAAATGAGACCATTGCTTATTGTTGCAAGCAGCCTTAAACTTCGCACTGCCCTCAAACTTGGCCCAAGTTTCATGGGGCTCTTAGGATAATGGATTCATGAGTCTATTCGAGCGTCCAGGTTATTGGGATGGTTAGGCGGTGAATAAAAAAAATTCCTAACCGAGATTTTATATATTTCGTTGTCCAAGTATTGTAGGGGTCTTGGGGCCCAAGTTTCGTGGGGCTCTTCGGCTAGTGGGCCTATTCAAACGTCCGGGTTATTGGGTTGGTTGGGCGGTGGTTAAAAAAATCTCTTAACAGAGATAATATTTTATTTTGTGACCCAACTTTCGTATGGATCTTAGGCTCATGGGTTCAAATCACAAAGGCTCATGTTTTCTTTATTTTTTCCAAAATCCGAGTTCCAAAATTCGGTGCCGACATCAAACAAAAATATGACCATTGAATCAATTACTTGAAAACTAACGGAATTAATCAAATAATGTTATTTGTTTTGAGGAGAAGTGCACAAAGGTTTGTGGATTAAGTTAATCTGATTCTAAAAAATGATTTAATTTGAACTTAGTATTAGTTAATTTAATTGCGACATAATCTTCAACCATGGATGCTGTCTTTTCGCATTCCCGCTTTATTTTCTCTGCTTTTATTAGGGCTATGTTTCTTCTCTAGGCCTCTTTCATTTCGCAGTAGCTCTCTCTCTCTCACTCTCTCTCTCTCTCTTCTGCCTTTTTTTGACCAATTGCCTCCTACTAAATACAGGGAAGAAGATTGCAAGATATGGGGATCAGTCAACAATTATTCAAAATTTAGTTACTTGAAGACTGTTAAAGAAATCCTGTCTGACTCGTTATTCAGTAGGCTGAAAACTACTTTTCTTGGCCTGATCATCAAAGCGGGTTTAAGAAAAGCAGGTGGTAATCAAAATGGTGATGGCTTGGGTTTTTCTGGGCAGCTGGTTCACTTTCTGGTAGTAAGACAGTTTGTGTCGTCAAGGGACAACGAGATTGGTTTTGCATCAACAACAAGCCGATGAGATTCTCATTGACTGAGTTTCATCTTGTCATTGGATTACCATTCTGGATAAAAGAAGATGAAGTCCCAGTAGATTTTGAGTGTGATTGGCCTTTATTGTTGCCTGACAAATGCCACAGGGTGGATGATTTGATTGCACAATTGAATGTCTTGGGTGAGGATGATGAGGAAAGCAAGCTACGGCTTGCTATGTTGATTGTTGTTTTGACCATCTTCATGTTGCCATATGGCATTATAAAGTACTCGATTCCGAAGGAGTATTTGGTCATTGCGAAAAAGAATATCCATGCGTATCCCTGGGGAAAAGTCTCATTTGATATGCTGGTGTCGTCGGTAAAATCTTTTACCGTTGAAAATCTTAAGAAGATTGTTCTTAAAGGGTTTTACATGGCATTACATCTATGGATGTTGGCATCTGTGTCAGAATTAAAAGAGACTTATGCTTGGCCCGATAATAAATCAGATCGTTTTCCTGTTTGTGCGAGGTATTTATCTACTGTTCAGCCTTCTTATGATCAAATCATGAGTAAGGAAGAAGATCTTAAGGTAATCAGTGTTCTTGGTGATTCGAATGAAGAAGAAGATGATGATGTTCTTATGCACTTGTTAAAGAGTGGTTATGTATTCTCTGAGTTAGATTGGAAGAGAGGTTATGCACTTGCTCAGCACCAAGAAGATCATGAAGTTGAGATTGGTGATCGGTCAGACGCAGACTATGCAGATGTGGATGAGACGCAGACTATGCAGATGTTGAAGTCAAACACTTCACCTTCACTTTACTATCAAATCCTAAGTACAGACACTCAAAGTTACAACATGTAATATAATCTACATGATACTTCATCAACGATCTCTGTCACATCACTACCAACGTTCTGCTCTAGATACTGTCTCAAGTAGTTGCTTATTCCTTACGTCTATAAGCTGCACAATAGTGCTAGAGGACAGAAATAACCAAATCGAAATTTCTCAAAGTGAACTTTATTTTCAAAATCTAACCTAACCAAACCAAAAATACATTTTCAAACCGAATGCTTCAGATTGCCCTCAAATTCGTGGTTTTGATGGGCAGATGAGTTTGATGGAATATCAAGAACCCAGATGGGTAGAGTAAGAAATGAGCTTCGGCTTGTGGAAGTGAAGAGCAAAGACGACTCAAACGAAGTATCTGAACAACTCATAAACTGTCTCATAGGCATTTACTTGGAACTGAATCAGGTTTCATCAAAGAAAAAAGGGGATGTCGCATTTTCGAGACGGCTCTCTTCTTGTAGCCGGAAATCAAACACATATACTTTGAGCAAACACTCAAAGTATGATCCTTTTTAATATATAAATGAATAGATGATTAACATTGTAAGAGAAGAAACTTAACCTGATGATCGGGATTCTGAAATACAAAATTCTTCGGCTATTCCACAAAGACAGTGCCGCTGGTTGTTTTCACTACACCGGCTAAAATCTTTAAAGTTTCAAGCTGTTTTTAAAGATAAAACAGGAGTTTCTTTAATCTCGTTCTAATCAGTCTTAGGCTCTGATTGGTAACACTTCTGGAATGGTGGAATGGTGGAAAAACATAAAAACGCAAGAATTTTGCCAATCAAAAAAACCTGCGAAAAAACGCAAAAAAGCAAGATCCGCGGAATTGCGTTTTTGCTTACAGAAAATACAATGAAATCTTCATTAAGCGGAAAAGCGTGTTTGAAGTAGATTATTTACGGAATCAATGTTTATATTTTTAATTATATAACTAATTATATTTTATAATTTAAATAAATACAAATAAATAATTTAGTATTACAAAAAATTATTTAATGATAAAGTTATATCTATTATTTAAGGTTTGCAATATTTTTTAATTTTTTTTATTTTAAAATAAAAAGTTATAATTAGAATTATATCATTTTATAATAATTGATTGAATTATTAATATATTTTTTTTATAATATATAGTAAAAAACAGAATATTTTCAAATAAGCATATTCTGCAATTCTGCCATTCTGCCATTCTTCATAATTTATCCAATCGTGTAAAAAAAAAGTTCCGCCATTCCGCAATTTATTTTTTTCCGCCATTCCGTAATTCCACGATATAAAAAATATGTTACCAATCGGAGCCTTAGAATCTTAGGTACACATAAAAAATATCAAAGACTACCTTTTTCTGAGTCATGTTACATATGCGAAGATCAGCTATGGAACTGTGTGAAGTTCATAAACCCATAGAAACTGATCCAAAGTGGCAATGGCAATCTTAAGATGACCAAAAAAAGAAGAGAGATTTATGACACAAATCCTAATACTTACGCAACAAATCACAAGGAACAAGAAGAGAGATTTATGAAACAACAGTAAAGCCAACGAGACTTAACATTCACACAACACTCAAACACTTCACCTTCACTTTACTATCAAATTCACATGCAAAAGCAAACTCGATTCACAACAACCCAGAAAACTTATTGACCGAAACCCAGAAAACTTAGAGTCAATCACGAATTCAAGCATTCCACAAGTAAGGTGACACCACACGCAAAAGCAAACTCGATTCACAACAACCCAGAAAACTTATTGACAGAAAACTCATTTACAAGTTACAACAATCCGACAGTTCATGAAGCTAAGCTTATTGACAGAAACACAGAAAAGAAAAATCAATTTACAAAGTATACATTGCTATAACTTACGCCAAGGGACTTGACAGCAAAGATCCTGCAAGAACAGCGCTTGAGGTGAGGGAAGAACGATGAGCAAACCCAGACTAAAGAGAAGCCGAAAGGACTGAAGCTCGAAACCCTTGGTTGTCACTCGCCACTCGATACTAAAGCTGATATTCGAAGAAGAGATCGAAGAAGAAGGAGAGAAGAGATCGGTTGATTTTTTTTTATATACCCATTGGCAACCCAATACCAATTGGACAAGACCCAAATAAAATGGTTAGTAATTAGACCCAACCCATTTTCAACCCAAAATTCTTTTTCTGTGTATAAACTAAACCCATAAATGATGGTCTTGGGTATCCATCTGGGTCCAAACTCTATTTGAATTAATATATGTTAATCAATCTCAAATTCAATTGTGTTTGAATCCTGTTTTTTTCTACACATTATTAATCAATTATATTCAGGCAAAATCATCAAGTTGAGGAAAAATCCAACTAGCTTAGCTTATCCAAAAGAGTTATAACTTATAAAGATTCAACATTCCAATCTTAGAAAACACAAGAATGCACTACAACAATTCTCTCTATCCCTTCTTTATTTATAACAAAAACCAATTTTTGTGGGAAAATTTCCAAAAAATACATCAACTTAATTATATCTTCTGAAAAAAATACACAAACTTTTAGCGTTGCCAGAATAATACACAAACTATTTTTTGTTGCTAGAATAATACACGAACTTTTAAACGTTGGACGTTTCATACACGGATGTTAACAGAATTAATAACACTGTTAACTTTGGAATAAAATATAAATATTTAAATAAAAATTTTATATTTTTTCTAAAAAAATCCAAAAAATTCCGAAAAAATCCCAAAAATTATAAAAAGAGAAAAGTTTTCAAAAATTCTAAATTATAAAATAAAAAAAAATAAAATAAAATTTATATAATTATTTATACTTTTGGTAATAAAATTAATGAATTTAGAGTAATGGATGGTCAAATTTTGTAATTTATTAAAAATAATATGAAACTAATTTTTTCATAAAATAAAAAGCAAATTGAAAAAAATTCACTCACGTTTGATGCAGCAACTTCCACTCACAATAAAAAAAAAAGAGTGGAACTGAAATTATGAATTGTTTTTACCAGTTTTTCATGAGAGAAAACCTTATAATAAAACGGATGAGTGGAAGTTGATGCATCATCAAATGCACTGGTAGATCAAGGTACCTTGGACGCTGGCAGCTGCCTATTTCCGTGGATATTCGAGGCTATATAGACGGATCAACTTCAACTCATCATCCATTTTATTATCAGGTTTCTTCGTTTAAGAGATTTTTTCAATCACCTACAAACCGAACCAATTACCCGAACG